TTCAGTTCTTCTTTCTGTTAGGGTTCACAGCTTATTGTGATCACAAACCTTGGCTAACAGTAAAGATTATTCGATGAAAGGGTTAAAGAACATGAATTAGTGTTTAGTGAACATGTTTTGCTCCTATTGTAGACTTAATTTTGGCATGCTTCTTCCAGATGCAGTACCGCCATCATGACAGGCACTGAATGAATGAATGAATGAATGAACGAACTAGAGCCAAATGTGCACTTTGACATTTTTCCTCATTTCAAAAGTAATGTAGACTGAAATAACCTAAAACTACAGATGTCACTCAAAGAAACACATTAAACACTAGGTCTTCAAGATGGTTTTCTCTTCATCAACATGAAGATGCGTAAGGGCAGAACACAAGAAAAATCTTGCTAGTAAGTTGCTTCCTGCAATAATTATACAAGTCAGTTTTTAAAAGTAATAAATGAAAAAAGCAAAATCTAATGAGGCAGCAAAATTGCAATCTGGGCAGTAGGTACAGAAGCTCAACTGATACACATCAGGCCATTAAAAGTTGCAGAAAAGGTAAAGTAATTGCATGAAGTGCAAGGGTGGTCTTGAGAATCCCATGACTACAAGAAGGGCTTTAGTTTGTTAGCCTGAAGTCCGAGTTGAACCATCACAGAAGTCGCATCCAGTCCCATGCCCGGCCCAGAATCTCTGACCATGAACAAACCCACAGTCCTGTGTGTGGATGGAATATGACATCTTGGTGGGGTGTCAAAATACACCAAGAGATTACAGCAAGCAAATCAAACCCATATCAGTAATCCATGTCAGATGAGGGAAAGTTTCTGATTATTGTGACATTTTGTTTGTTATTAAAGATATTTGAAATATTTAAAATAACAAAGTATTAGAGGATCTGATACTTCCAGTTTAATTTGAAATGCTTCGAGGAATTTGAAATTAGTTCTGTGATTTTTTAATTTAAAAGTGTCAAAGGAAATGTAATTAAATTTGTAAACGAATGTTTAACATTTTTTGGTCTAGTGTTTGGATGCTGAGGAAGATTGCATCAGAATTTTGGTCTTTCATGTTAGCTACTGGAAGTGTTTGTGCACATCAAACAGATTGAATGTGTGGGTGACTTTGAAATGTCTAAGGAAACCAGATTGTGTGGGAGCAATGTTTATGGTTTAACCCATTCCGTTTTTAATTAATCCAGCATCGATCAAAGATTAAGCCAGTGTTCATATTTATATACAAAACCACCTAGTTTGTAGTGATAACAAGATTTGTAAATCGATTTCAAAGACACAAGACAAATGAGATTTTTCAATGTATAACTTTAATAACTGAGATATTATGTAAAACACCAGCAACTATAAGAATCCTAGTCAGTGCACAAAAGCCCTGGTCAGATGCTACAACTCAGTGGACAGCGTCTGTTCAGGTCCATCCAAACCCATAAACTTGGAGCACCCGGCCTCTGAGACACGGGACTTGATACACACCGTAAGGCCAAGTTTATTCTTTACCTCTCCTTGCTGATGGGGATGGGGAGAACAGCGATGGCTGGGGCATTCAGCTGGCAGATGGAGGACCCCCAAATCCAGTGGCTGTACCCCAGCACCACCAGCCTTGACAACACCAAGGAGCCAGTAGTGGGCAGATGAGGCTCCTTCGACTGTGAGAGTGAAGCTCAAATGGGACTTGGTTGGGCCCTTGCACATTATTGTTATGTTAAAATTGATTTTTAAACTTACAATAAAATGCACTCTTTTTGGTGTGTAGTTTTGATGAAGGCACCAAGTCATGTAACCATTGCCGTGTGCAGGATGCGGAACAGTTCCATCACCCGCCAAATCCTCCCATGCTATCCCTTCGTCACCAGACCCTTTCCCCTCCTCCAACGCCCCCTGCACCCCGGGTGACCATGGGTCTGTTCTCTATCCCTACTGTTCTGCCTTTTCCAGAACGTAACATAGACGGAATCATTCAGTAGGCAGACTTTTGAGTCTGGCTTCTTAGCACAATGCGTTTGAAATGCACATTATTTTCAGTTTGTGGAGAATTCCGCAAAGGGTTGCTCATCCATTCCACCGCTCAGCCCCCAACGGCCAGGGGTGTTTGAACAAGTTGGCCGGCCCTCCGCATGCTTACTTTTGAAGGCCTCTCTGCAGCATTTCAAACGCATTCAAAGGCAGCCATTTTCTATATTCAAGATAACCCCTTTCTGTAACCTTGAAAAGATCTTGAGAATTTGCTTTTGAAATTGATTTTGTGATTGTCCGACTCTTCACTAATTATCATGAGAAAAATATTTTTTTAAGCAAATACTGAATCTAACCATTAATGTTCACAGGACTGGAAACACATTTAATCATGTTTATTTTTATCTTGCAACTTTCTTACGTTAGAGCCAACACTGGTTTTTTCCGGGTGGAAAACGTTTCTGTAGGCCCCTGGGAAGTCTTAGGCCCTGGGCGCCATGCCCCAAACCTGACAGAACCCCACGATTCCACCACTAAAGGCATCACGGTTCCAGCCCACACCAGTGAGAGAAGGGATGGTAGACAGCTTTCTCTGAATCATAACAATGCCCTTTCTTAAAAAAAAAAAAATTCTATGGCACCGGAGTTCGTTTGTTAAGAGTTTATCTCACAAACATACATACTGTGTAAAAAAAAAATTCTATGGCACAGGAGTTCAAGTTTGTTAAGAGTTTATCTCGCCGAAACCGGTTTGGTTCAGTGGATAGAGCGTCGGCCTGCGGACTGAAAGGTCCCAGGTTCGATTCCGGTCAAGGGCATGTACCTGGGTTGCGGGCACTTCCCCAGTGGGGGATGTGCAGGAGGCAGCTGATCGATGTTTCTAACTCTCTATCTCTCTTCCTCTCTGTAAAAAATCAATAAAATATATTTTTTAAAAAAAAGAGTTTATCTCACAAACATACATACTGTGTAAAAAAAAATGTATGTGCAAATGTGTTCATCACAGCAATACTGACTGGTAATAGTACTGATAAGAGTCTATCAGTAAGCAATGGCTTCCGCTGTGATACATCACACAATGGGAAACTATGCAGGCACGAAAAGGGGTGAGGTAGGTCTATATGTGCTCACAGTAGGAATTTCACAATTAAGGAAAAACGTAAGTTGCAGAAAAAGAATGTAGAGTCTGATTACGTTTCTGTAAAAATAAAAGTCACTGTCGTTTTGAAATGTTAGTAAATGCAGAGGAAACAAACTGGAAGGTACAGGCCAAACTTCACCGTGGTTACGACGTTTCTGTATGCGGGTGCCTGTGGGTGGGGAGAGGCTTTCGTTAGGTACTTTGCTGTAACATGACGTTTTTACCATGAGCACATATTACTTTGGTAATCGAGAAAATTCAGTATTAAACAACCCAGACACAAGCAGGACGACTGAAAGACGTGACTTGATGTTCTGAATTTCTGAGCACATTATGGACGGCCAGTAGACTGCTCTTGAGTTAGCAGGTTCCTTGTCCCTTTTTTCAAGGCCAAAACCACTAAAAACAAAACCAAAAAAAACCCTCCTCTTTCCCCTTCTTTCTACAACCACTCTCCCATCGAGCACATCCACAAAAAACAAGATTCTCTTGGTTGAGAAGTTTCTGGAAAACAAGATATTCACACCGAGAAGGGAAATTGGAGGACGAAGCTAGAGTTCAAGTTCTGCGTGGCATCTAAAGAACTCCCAAGCCAACGACCGTGCATCTGCTCCAAAGAGACCCTTCCTCCCGGCAGCAATCCTGCAACCCCGCTGTCAGCACACGGTGACATGCTATGTAGAGAGACATGCGCACACGAAGCACCACGTCCACACGAGTTCCAGGGACATGCTCATGGCAAGGAGGTCTTGAGATGCTGTCCCGGAGACCTGGCAGACCAACCGAAATTTGCAGAACTGTAAGTCCAAAAGGGCCTCGTGAGAGAGACCGCTTGAGGCCCCCAGGCCGGTGATGGAGCTGGAAAATACTAAGTCCATCCATTCGGTGCCCCGTGGGCCTCAGTCCGTGGGCGGTGGGCCTGCGGGCCTCACTCGCTGGTGTCCAGGGGCACGGTCTTGAGCTCCCACACCCGAGGAACTGCTTGGATACGACAGAAGCTGGCCCAGGGGACACTGTGACCCTGTGACGGCAGAAGGGCCTCTTTGCTTCCCCCCCATAATTGCTTCAAAACTGTGCGTGTCCACACCTGGACTGCCAGTCACCTGTTCCGGGCAAGCAGCCAAGTCCGGAGAGAGGATGTTGTGCGGACCACGTGGCCTTTGTGGAGAACGGGGGTGGGGGGCATCCAGCCGCCTGGGCGTTGGGGTCTGCCTGTCGCTTCTGCTCGCTATAGGCAGTGGGAGGGCACAGGCCACCGCCAGGCACTAGGCGGTGACACAGCTGTCCTAGGAGGGGAGGACTGAGGGAGCCAGGGAAGGCTCGTTTGTAAAAGGGTTTCAGTTTGTTTCCTGGATAAATACAGCCAGTGCTTCCACCCCATCCTATTGATGCGACCAGAAACAGCCCCGGGATGGGGACCTGAGAGCCCGGGCCCTGCCCTGCCTCAGGACAGCGGCCTCCATCCTCCAAGGTAAGATGCTACTTTAGAAGGGGGCTTGGGGAGAGGGAACAGGATTGGGAGGTGGGATAAATACGGAGACAGGAGCAAAGGGAACGCCAAGGGGCTAAGGCACCTTCCTGACTTCACTGGAAGTGGCACGCCTACATCACGGTCCTTGCTTTTCAAGGACCAGTCGAGGGAGGCCAAATGCGTGTTGGAGGCAAAGCCTGGCTTTCTGGGCTCACAGGTCTCCTTGAATCCGCTGCCTCTTTCCCAGGGGGAGCTCAGCACCCCTCCTCGACTTCCCGTCTCTGTAGAGAGCATCCTGAGCTCCTGCCTCTCCACCTCTGGGACTCCCCCTCTGTCCTCTGGCCAGAACCTGCCACCGATGCTCTTCTGTGTCACTCAGCCGTCTGGCCATGGGTCTCCGTGAATGGTCCCTTCCACACTGAAAACTCTCCATACATTTCTTTTAAAACCTTTTATTCAATAATATATACTTTTAAAATTATAATATGTAACTGCCCATCATGCCATATAAGCCCCCGCGCCCCCGCTGCGGAGTCTGTGGTCTGCTGGAAACCAGGCGGCCACAGGACGCATCCAGGGGCGCGGGGGAGCATCAGTAACCAACAACCATTTGCATACCCTTCACATTTCCCATGCTTTCTGGGTCAGGAGGAAGTCAACCGGAAGCCAAAGGCGTGGGAACCTTTTACATTCGGAAGTGAGGTTTGATATACGGTGGTGGGCTGCCCTTCAGTTGGTCTAGTTCGTGCTCGCCAAACCCGCCACCGTTTGTGTCTGCTCACGGCACGTGATCTCTCTACACACGTTAAGACGTTTGATTTGGTTCTTGTTCTGCTTATGGAAAAGTGAGAGGAACCGCAACAGACCTGGGGAAAGAGATGGGAGGAGGGGAAAGACGCATTAATCAATCTGACCGGGAGTGAGGACAGGCCTCCCTTGTCCGTGGCTTCCTCCTGGAGGGGGCCGGGAAGTGTGTGCAAGCCTGCCTTTCCTGTGCCGCTTTGCGGAAAACCTAGGGGGACCATGAAATCGGGTTTGGAGAGGTACCCTTTCCAAACTTGCTCTAGAGAGCGAGGGGAAAGTTCTGGACACCGCGGGGGTGACCACGTCTCTTCCCCGCCTCTCAGGTCCGGTTGCGCAGGCCACCTCTGGAGCCCCGTCAGATCTGATCCACGTCACTGAAGACAGCGTGGGACTGAGTTAGAGGACTGTATTTCTCTGTATGACAGAGAAAGGGCCAAGTCCACTAAAAAGGGGAACTGGCTCATACAGGGTGAGCAGAGTAGGTTTACAGCTGTTCGTATGGATAAAGACGTGCAGGTTAGGATTGTTACAAGTTTCATCAACTCAAAAGAATGGCACAATGGCAGTGTGCTCACAACTGCAAGCCTGCTTTTGCCCGCCCTGTATTTACTCTCCCCTCAAAGCGTGGCCTCAACACCATTCCTCCTCCCATGTCCAGCGCAGTGGGGTGGGAGGAGAGATGCCAGCAGTATTCTGAGTCTCAGAACGGTACCTCAGCCCTGAGGGGAAGGACTGCGCACCTGGCGGTGGTCACAGGAACATCAGTCCGTGAACTCTTGGGGTAAAGAACTCTACTGCTCAGTATTTGAGAGGCTGCGTGGTGCGTACGGCTAAGAAATGAGTTTGCCTTTCAGCGCTTCAGAAACTGATTTCCAAGCATCCAACTCCACAGAGGGACCAGCCGGGGAGAAAAAGAACATTAATTAAAGACACCACCATCTGCCAAACAGCAGCACATGCCCGCGAGGGCTGCAAGGAACGGGGTGGGAAGACGATCCTAAACGCAGAGCACTGCCACCAAGGCTCAAGTTGTGGGAGAAAACAGGCCAGCCCCAAGAAGCAGGTGTCTGAGGGGTGCAGTTTAGAAGCAAGAACCAAGAACCAGCAATAGGTCCCCTCGCCGACACGCCTCCCGCCGTCTTCACACCGGGCGGATTACTGCAACCACCACATACATCCCTGCAGTTCCAGGGTGACCCCTCCTCTCCCCCGAGACAGGAAACACAAGCTTAAGGTCCGCAGAGCAGGGGCTTGTCGCCCTCTGGGGAAGGCGGGTGACCAACATCTTTATTTAGGCAAAACAAGATTTCCCAGGGCGTTTTTCTCCCCGCTCAGGGCAGCAGCACAGAAATTGTGCATCAGCATCCAGTGCTGCACCGAGGGGGCCACCACTGTGTCTGACGTGGTCATCTGTAAGGATCGCAGCCAGGCGGTGCTGCTTTTTGGCAAACGGAAGGCGAGTCGGCTCCAGGGGTCTTGATTTACCCAAGCTTTGCACGGGGTGCCAAGTTTCTGTCCCCACCTCTCAGTCACCATTCACAGCACGAAAAGCCAGCAAGTGAAAAAACGGTTAATTTATTGAGTCAATGAAAGTTGGTTTTTTAAAAACAATCCTCAATACATGTAGCTCAGGAATTAAGTATCACATTTGTAGCACATTGTTGAGTCTCCACACAAAAGCCCGCCCACCTGCACAGCCCCATCGCCTCACCTCACAGCCTGCGTGGGGCCATGTTCATCCATACACCCATGTAGCTCAGAAGCACATGCCATCGCTGGTTTTCTCAGCTGGCGTTTCCCCACCACCTCCCCTCCCCGGTCCCGTCTTAGAGTTCAGCTCGCTGACAAACTTTGGCTTGCTGTGTGCTCATGCGGACCCCGCTTTTGCTTTCAAAAGGGTTTCTATCTCCGTGACGTCGCCAGGTTGTTACGCACTCCTGTTCAGCGGTAGGAGGGGAGTTTGCTTTCCCCGTGGGTGCTCATGCCGTAATGCAGGTTTCTAAACAAACCATTTCCTCTGACCTGGCATTCAAGGAAATATTAACTGGGCTCTTAGATCCACTTCAGTGCATATACAAACACTCCTCCAGTTGTTGCTTGTGTCCCAAAGTAATTCTGCTCCCATCCTCAGCCACGCAGCACCTGGGAGAACCTGTCCTTTCCCTGAGTAGACCCAGGCTGAGCCCCCGCCGCCAGCTCGCTGGGACTCAGCATCTGCCTGGAGAGCACCTTGTGGTCCCACTGGCACCAATCCAGGGGGAGTGCCCGCCTCAGAGCGCACCCAGAACATGACCTTTGTGCCCCCAGGTCCTCTCCCCTCGGAAGTCACATTCCCTCTTTCGACTGTTCCTGGTTCAGCTTCTCCTTTAACAGCCGGCTGGCCCGGCCTCTCCCAGCCCCAAGGATCCCCAGCTCTGCCGTCTCCTCTAATGAATCCGTCTGAGCACCTTCCTCTTTGCAAGGGAAACATCTGCTGTGAGCCTGTGAGTACCGATGTGCTAGAGCGTCTGTTAGGAGACCCGGCGAGTGAGTACCGGTTAAGTGCCCACAGAATGGGCCTCGGCACGCGCCTCACTGTGAGAAGGCCCACGAATGCTGGTCTGCGCTATACATGTGATGGCTGCTCCCGCCCAGCCCCCTGCCACCGGGACGGGAGGGGACAGGAGCAGGCCAGCTGATATGACCCAGGGGAGAGTGAACTGCAAGTAAACCACAGGTGAAAAGATCAATGGGCAGTTCTGCCCTCCCCGCGGCCTCAGCTGGAGGAACCCCTGCAGCCCTGCTCGCGGGGGCCAGACTGTGACACCCGCCTGTACACGGCACAGGAGCCATCTTCCTCACCGCGCCACGTCTATGTTCTTAAACACAGGCAGTACCTGAGATGACAGTGTAACACTACCCTGTTCCCCACATTTTTTGCTTTTCTTTAGGAAATAATAAGTCCTCATCATAGGCACTTTTAACCTGTTATAAGGTAATGAAGCAAACAAAATAACAAATGAAAATTACTGAGATGAATTAAGAAATATAGCTAACTGAAAAGGATAGGGGGTGGGTAGATCTACCATAGCTTAGTCTAAATATTAGACACTCTCTCTCACACACACAGGCACACACGCACTCACCCCTCTTTCTCAGAACTCTCCAAGACCACCTCCTAACCCAGGGACATGCTCTCAAATACCAGTGGAGCCAGGTCCATGTGGACACACCATGGTTTGGGCATCGGTTATGAGAAAAGGTCTGGACTGGACTCACTTGTCTGGGGAATACAACAACCTATAGTGGCAGCAGCCAGCAAGCTGGTTGAGGCCAGACGAGAAAGGAGCGGGCGTTTTAAACCCTGTTCTGCCGCATGTCTAAGGCATGAAGACAGGTAAAGGACAGGTGGGAGCCAAGGAAACTGTGCATAAAGGAAGCACTGCTCCTGTCCAAGCGGCGGCTTCAGGGCCAGGGCAGGCAGGTGAGCGTCTGCACCGACCGAGTCACGAGCAAAGGAGAGAGAGGACAAGTGACCGCCGGCTCTGCTCCAGATGCTGTCCTGCCTCTGGGGCCCCACTGGTCACTACCTCACCAAGCCCTCCTCTCAGCTTCCGGCCTGGCCCAGACAGGCAACTCCAAGGTGTGGGAGGACAGCGTGGGGACGAAGGGGCGGGGCGGGAAAGACACACAGTGGCACATCTCCCTGATAATAAACAGCTCCGTGTTGCCTCAGAGGGCACGTGAGAAGGCTTCTGACAATCCCAGAGTTTTACTGCCTGACACGGTGATCTAGGTTCAGCCCAGAGCTCGTGCCTCGTCTTTCATTTTCAGACAGAACAAATGCAGACACTAATACACAGAATGTGCAACGCAGGCAGGTAGTATATGTAGGAGAACCTTAGCGGAATTCATTTCCTGGCTTTGGGATCTGATTTTTTAATCTGTAAGCTCAACTCTATAAATAAGAGTTTTATTTGTATTTCAAATTCCCACCAACCAAATGACAAAAATAGAATCTACATTTAGAGATAGGACCTGCTACCAATACCAATATGATTTTATTGGAATATGGAATGTAAACAGATGCTTTCAAACAAACAGTCTACCCTTATAAAAACGTATGGCATTATTAAATAGTTAATAACTCGCGGATAATGTGACGTGGTGGCAGACCCCTCGAGCTCCAGCCTAGCTGTGCGAGTCCCCATAGCTGTGGCGCGGCTCTGCAGCTGGGGGGCGGGGACTGCTTGCAAATCAAGTTAATGTCAAGTCCCCCAAATGAAATCAGCACTATTTTTACTTTTTAAAACAAAATCTAGCTTCCTTTGCTAACGTGAAGGCTGGCACATGGATCCCAGGCTTTGCTACTCACTCCGGGAACCCCACTTCCTCCCCCAAGACCCTTGCCGCCTGGGCTGTGGGTGGCCCTGCCCACGTACCTGCAGGCGAGAGGGACTTGTCATTGCCATCACATTCACGTATTACCCATCAGAGCTTAGAAATGCAGAGTACCCTGATTACAGCGGGGAATTACTTCTCACGGGGATAAAAAGAGGCAAAAAGGGGGTGGGATGGGGATATATACTTTTTTTTCTTCGCCCAATAGGTCATTCCTGAATAAATTCTCATAGAACCTTTTTCCTCCCTCTCCCCCATGACCTGTCTAAAGACCGACCTCCCAGCTTTAGTTATGGTTGTGAACAAAACGTCTTTGTTTCAGAGATGCGTTAAAATAGGTGCACACACAGGGGTGTGCTGGGAAATGGTGAGGCTTCCTTACAAGACTGCAAAAAAAAAAAAGCTACACAAAAAAAAAATAGCAACAAGATTTTATGGTTAGGCAAATCAACAAAGGTTACAGTGAGCTCCAAGTTATGCACTTAGCATCTAACTTCTGAAGAGACGATGGACCTGTTTGTGGCATCACAGGGTTTAAAGTGACGTCTGCTGACACCCAAGGGAACTATGAGAGTGACTGCAGTTTGCTCCCAAATTAATAGGCTTAGAGGAAACTGCAAGGCTGAGGTACATTTCCTAGAGAGCTCATGTCATAAAAAAATACATAAAACATGAATTTGTAAAAGAGTTAAAAAAAAATACTGTCGCTGTTTTAATATCTCCTGTTCGTAAGTGAGGCTGGTGTGTCAGTACAGGCTGCTGACATGTGGCTAAAACTTGAGCCTGAATCTCACCCGAGGAAACCCAGACCACAGTGGAATAGACAGGAAGTCAGATATTCAGAGCGGGTGGTCTCCTGTGAAACACAGGTGAGTGTACAACTCCGAGTCTCCCGTCTCCCATGCATTCCACAGGGAGAGGCCCCTCAGATCCTCAACTAGGGGCAGCGTCTCGCTCGCTGCCGGAGCGTCAGTGCCCTGGAGACTAGGACTGGGGAGTTTCTTTTTGACAGACTTTTAGGCCTTTACTCTTCTTTGCGTTTAGAAGGAATGACTAGAATTTCTTTGTATCACACTGGAGTTTTCCTTCAAGGTTTGTGTTGTGTTGGTTGGTTTTATTGGCAAGCATCAATGCCGCATTACCCGTCGCTTTCCAGTCTTCATCGGGCCGCCGTGAGACCACTGGAAAGTACAGCGTTGTCCGCACAGGGCTGGGACTGCTCCTTCACCACGGGGTCTGCAAGGGAAAGGGCCAGGTCAGCAAGGCTGGGCGGGGAGGGAGGGAACATCACACCGAGCCCCACCTTCCACAGTGAGCCAGAGAGGACACACTGTCGGGAAAGGCAGGACCAGGAGGGCGGGGGACATGGCAGCATATGGTTATAGAAGAACCAGGTACTGAAAAATGATCATACTTCCTCAGAGTCAAGTTCAATGACTCAGACTCACAAAGAACGGCACAGACACTCATCTCCCACTGGTCAAATTTCTACTCACTTTCTTATGTGCTATTTTCCTTGAATACTAGTATCCTACCCAACCCCCAATTTCTTCAATGCGTGCACAATAATAAGCACTTCAGAGAAAAGGGTGAATAAAAAGAGCCATTAGAAGACCTAACCATTTTGCCCAGTCAGTATGGCTCAGTGGTTCATGTCGACCTATGAACCAGGAAGTCACCGTTCGATTCCCAGTCAGGGCACAGGCCCGGGTTGCAGGCTGGATCCCCAGTGTGGGGTGTGCGGGAGGCAGCCAACCAATGATTCTCTCTCATCATTGATGTTTCTATCTCTCTCTCCCTCTCCCTTCCTCTCTGAAATCAATAAAAATATATTTAAAAAATAATAAAATTTAAAAAAATAATATACATACACATACACACACACACATATTTAGATGACCTAACCATTTTAAGCAATAGTAGCTAAAATAACTTTTTAAAATAGAAGCATGAGTATTCAGAAAAGTAGACAGATCATGAATTACATATTGTAAACATCAGTGCTCTGAATTCCATCAACTCAAAGGGTAGAAATAGATTTCTGTGCCCTGGACCACTGAAGGGTGAGACCTTTCAAATCTGCTATCTTCTAATGCTATGGGCCAGTAGGTTCCAAGACCAAAGAGCAATGTCAACTTCAGGCAAGTTTCAGTTAATTGCAGAGGGGAAAAAGAAGGAAAGATGGCAATTAGTCAAGCAACAGATAGGCTGAAAATGTTGGTCGACTCACACAGTGAATTGAGACAGGTAGCTTAACCTCCCTTATTCTGTCTCCTCTGACTGGCCTAACCCACCCCACACTGCTGAGAATAAAGTGTGAGACGTGCCTTTATCAGTGCAGAGAACTGCACGCATGCAGAACAACAAGCAACCACATAAATGGAATTTATACACATCCTCTTAATCAATAATTCAGAGAGAATTTTAGTGACGTCTTTTCATACCTGCTTTCCTTTCCGCAAATTCTTTTTACTTATTTAACTGATTTCCTTTAAAATATACTAATAGTTACATTACTTTCAACTAATTACTTGTTTTTCTGTGTGTGCTGGGGGGGGGGGTGGTATCTTTGATTAGTTTCCAAGAAAAAAGTATATATTTGAAAACTTGTGATCTACCAACTCAGCCACTGGGAAGGGTCTAACACAGCGGTTGCCAACCTTTCAGACCTCGCGGACCAATAGCGGTCCGTGGACTACTGATTGGTAACCGCTGGTCTAACAGACCAGACTCGAGGGAGCTACGAGCAAATATCTCCGGGATCAAGAAGCAGACCTGCCAAGTTGTCTCAATGGTCTAGAACTAATGAGGCTGAATTCCAACGGCATTAATTCAAATACCTAGAATTCCCTTGACCAGCCTCAAAGATAAAGGGTCCAAGAACTTTTCCTTTAAAAAAGGGGCCTCTGCAAAGCGCCTGGAGACTCACAGAAGTACGGGTGCTCCATGGCCTCTTTGGCAGTCAGTCTCTGCTGATGGTCGTATCGCAGAAGTTTGTCCAGAAGATCTAGGGCCTCGGGGCTGACGAGGTGTCTGTTCTCGCTATGTATAAAGTTTTCCCAGCGTTTCCGTGAATGTCTGTGAAGAAAAGGGGAGCATTAGCGTTCTGAAACGAAGTTCAACAAGATCCTTATGTAGTGGGGCCAAAACCAACAGAGTATGGCACTGGCTACAAGCTCCTTAAATCTCATTCTGGCTACCTGCCCCACCCCTACAGCTATGATCCCAGCCAGTGCACTTGCTCAAATCTGTCTGATCCTCAAACAAAACAGTGCGTTTACATCTGATTCGGATGTAAAAGATTTAGATGGCTTTAGTTAATTCTGGGCAAGGCACAGAGGTGACTGAAAAATTGTTATTACTCAGTCATTATATTTAGAGCTGCTGGCCTTAGAAACATGGGTTTCATAAAATACTATTTGAAAAATTTCAACACATTTTCAACTCTATCTGAAAATAGGCTTTAAAATTACCTTATAAATAATCCATTACAGAGAACAAAAGAAATGGTTTCTTATTCAAAGAATCACAAATTTCTAAGATTTTTCCATTAAAATAAGCATATGTTAAGCCAGAAAACTCTTTTTCTGTAACATTATAATTTTCTATTAATAAGCAGGCTATCTCTTAGAAAAGTAAAACTATTAGAAGACACATGTAAACAATGCCCAAATATCTCAAAATAAGAAAAGACGGAGGGCGTGCGGGGGTGGGGGGTCGCGGGGGGGGCAGGTAGTAGAAGGCTACTTGATTCTGATACAATTAGGAAGGGGAAGAGCTTTGGACAGTGATTTCGCCAACCTTTCCCCTCCTGCAGGGGGTGAGTTAACACCTCCCCTCTCCTCTCCCTCTTACTTACTGTCCCAGGATATCGTTGAAGTGCGGGTCTAAGTCTATGTGATACTTCTTCAGGTACCCATATAGCTCATCTGTCCCCAGGACCTTGGCAATGCGAACCAGCTGAAACACAAACAAACTGACCAAATCACCGCGCCCAGAACTCCCTGCACGCCCGTGAGGACGCTGTGACAGGGAACCAGACTTCCCACCCACGACTTCCCCAGGGACCAGGTACAGACCCAAGGACACACATGAATGCAGATTTCCAACATGCCTTTGAAAGGATAAGGCAACTGACTACAGGAATCATCTAGAAGCTGACTATTCTGGGGACATGGAATTTAGTGACTAGAATCTAGTTTTATTAGGTAAGGAGGTGCCTGACTGCACAGGCTCACTTTGAAGTTGGGCATAAGATAAGCGTCATCTATCTCTGGAGACCTGGTAACCTCAGGCAAATTTTGTGAAATCCTTCACCCTGAAGAAAAGCGTGTGTGAGGACACTGAGAGAGAACCAGTGGCTCAAGGACAGCATCCTATCAAGGGATGCCACTTTCTTGGCATCTGCCCCCAAATGGATATGAGCCAGATGGTGTCACTCACCTGGTCATAGTTGTCCTGTCCGTGGAAGAAGGGTTCCTTTCGAAAGATCATGCTCGCTAACATACAGCCCAAACTCCACATGTCCAAGCTGTAATCATACATCTGAGGAAATAAGGACAAGCAGTCAGTCACAGGTGCTCCATTTTCCTGAGCCAAAAAAAAAGTGGTAGCTGCGGAAAATCAGTAATGATCATTCTGGGACGGAACAAAGACCAGGCTTTGAATGTGTCCAAACTGACTCAATAAAAACCAAGAAGCCCGGCCGGGTGGCTCAGTGGTTGAGCGTTGACCTATGAACCAGGAGGTCATGGTTTGATTCCCTGTCAAGGCACATGTCTGTGTTGCAGGCTCAATCCCCAATAGGAGACTTGCAGGAGGCAGCCAATCAACGACTCTGTCATCATTGATGTTTCTATCTCTCTCTCCCTCTCCTTCCTCTCTGAAATCAATAAAAATATATTTTAAACAACAACAAAAAAACAAAACAGGAAAGAGGAAAAGCCCTTAAGGAAACACAAGGAGAGCCCAGGGCGCTCCGCTAACCGCTTTACCTGGTAGTCCACAAGGAGCTCTGGTCCCTTGAAGTACCTGGAGGCCACGCGGACATTGTACTCCTGAGCAGGATGGTAGAACTCTGCCAGACCCCAGTCTATCAGTCGCAGCTACAAACACGACAGAAATACAACATGTGAAAGGAGCGTTTCTAGATGCCTGTGCCTTAGTACAGGGCCACACCACAGGAAATGGTAATTATTTGGCCGTATGAAAAAATGTTAGCAAGTGCACTGGCAAAAAAAATTATACTTTCAGTAACTGCATAAGAGGTCATTTCTGAACATGGCACTCAGAATCGTATTTGCTTTTTCTTCTTTAAAACTTAAATTATCCTGGCTTATTCTCTTGAGATCAATACAGCTTAAGCTTCTCTCTGGCTCCATACAACCTGTATGTGCAGCACATCCCCCATCATCAACAGCTTTCATTATAAGCTGTAGTTGTAACAGCAAGGGTGGGGGTACATGCCCCATTCCAGGATTGAGGCACTGCTCTAGCTTCTCATTATCTACTAGGTGAGTCATTTATTCAACAATCAGGGACGACCAGCATTGGGCATTGAAACTAAGAGGGATCGATTATATTTCTAAGGCCAGGCAGATTGGTCTGAGGGTTCATTAAGCAGCAGAAACCATCAGCAGCAGTTTCTTTCTTGAGGCTCCCTAGAAAACCATGACGACAATAAACAAGTGAGTACAGTCAGGCTCGGCTACGTTCCTTGTGTACTACACGTATGTGAGTAGGAACCCGCACCGGGAGACTGGGAAATAACAGTATCACCCGTCTGCCAATAGCACGGGTCTCCAGAAACCACCTAAGTCCTGGCCAGGGGTTGGTCTACACCTTCCAATGGAAGGCTGGCGGCTGCCTAGCTGGTATGGTACCTTTTTCTGTTGGTGATCTATCATGACATTGTGAGGTTTCACATCCCTGTGCATGATTCCCTTGCTGTGGCAGTAATCCAGAGCCTATTAGGTAAGAAAGCACAGAGAAAGGTAAGCAAACCCTCTACCACCCCCACATGGCAATCATATTCGCATTTGCTTGACAGCTTGACTTGGATAGTCTCCCCAGGGGCAGCTTACTGTCTGTAACAGAAGAGAAGAAACAGGCCTCAGGAGGCAGCCCTTGCTCTCTGCAAACCACGCTGGCAGCTGGGAGAGGGCTCAGGAGGCGACGTCAAGGCTTTGATGGCGGTTTCTTAAAATGGGGGAAATGAGCCCTGGCCAGTCTGACTCGGTGGTAAGAGTATCAACCTGTGCACTGAAGGGTCAAAGGTTCAATTCCTGCATGTACCTGGATTGCAGGTTCCATGTCTCTCTCTCTCTCTTTCTCTCTCTCTCTCTCCTTCCCCACCACACTAAAAATCAATGGGAAAAATACCCTCGAGTGAGGATTAACAAACAAACATACAAAAACTCCTCTCCTACTTGCAGCTAGCCACCTGGGTTTAGAAATCATACATTAATCTGTTCTGATTTTGTGTGTTTAAAATCAGACCTAGGAACCTCACCGGAGTCACCTCTCATAGAGGTTCAATGACACGCAAGAGTCCACGTGGACATGAAGCACGACACCCAAATATATTTTTCAGCGTGGCTTGTTTTTTAGGTGCCTTATGGGGGTTTTCTAGGTTAACACACATTCTAATATTAGTATTACCCTTAAAAGCAACCCCTGAGCCAGTTGGTCTTTAAGAATTGATTATAGCCCGGCAGGTGTGGCTCAGTGGTTGAGCGTCAACCTATGAATCAGGTCATGGTTTGATTCCCCGTCAGGGCACATGCCCAGGTTGCGGTCATGACCCCCAGTGGGGGTGTGCAGGAGGCAGCTGATCAATGATTCTCTCATCAGTGATGTTTCTCTCTCTCTCTCCCTTTCCCTTCCTCTCAAGCTTGCCTTCACTCAATCCCCTCCCCTCTGCCCTCTGCTCCTCCTCCCATGCTCTGTTCCCAACCACTAATCTGCTATCTGTTGCTATGATCTATCTGCCCTTTAGACATTCATAAAACAATACAATATACAGTACTCCATCTTCATTCACTTAGATGTTTCTGAGATTCACCCATATTGCTTTTCTTCTGGCTGAGCAGTATCCCACTGTGTGACTGTACCAGCTGGTGGACAGTGGGTGGTTCCCACCTTTTGGCTCTTATGAATGTGGTGTTAAGTTCATGTACAAGTCTCTGAGGTGACACAAGCTTTCATTTCTCTTGGGTGGATTCCTAAAGGTGGAAGTGCTGGATTGCATGTAGGTTTTACATTAAACTTTCAATAAATCTGCCCTAGTTGTTTTCCAAAGTAGCTGCACCATTTTACATCACATCCCCATCAGCAACGCATGAGGGTTCCCGTTCCTCTACATCCTCCCACACTCATCCTTGTCCACCTTTTGGTTATGGCCGTTCTAGTAGGTCTGCAGTGGCGTCTCACTGCAGTTTTGATTTCTATTTCCCTCATGAGTGATCAAGTTGAACATCTTTCCTTGTGCTTGTCAGCCTTTATCTTCTTTAGACAAATGTTGACTCAAATCTTTCATCCATTTTTTATTTGGGCTCTTCTTGTTTTATTTATTTAGTTAGTTTCCCCGTGTCCCGGCGCTTGAGGATAGAACCGGCGGACTGGAAACCATTGGCACCGGAGACATGCTGCCAAGGGGGCAGGAGCCCCTACCCTCTGCCTCCATATATTACGGGGACTGGGACTACATGCCAGGCCCCGCCAAGAAGAGGAGGGTTGGTTTTTGTTTTAAATTTTAAAAAGAAAAGAAAAGAAAAGTGCTGCCAGGATTAATGTTCTTCCCCTTCCAAGAAAAAAATCACAGTGCTCATATCTGACACTTGCGTGATGGACTCTTATGACTGGAAAAATGGAAAGGGCCTGGTGTCATTCCTGATGGGTGATGGGATGTGTGTTATTTTTCACGCCGCAGTTTGTGAATTGTAAATGCGGTTTCCTACTTGTCGTAACTGGGCAGAAATTTTTTAAAAATTCAATAAAAATACAAATGTTTAAGCAACTAAAAAAAAAAAAGTTTTTGCTCCTGAACCTCCTTTTCTTACACAATATAACTATTTTCATGAATTTCAATAGTAGGCCCTTCAGCTTGTCTTAAAAAGCACCCGAAGCCTGCCTGAGTCCCGTAATATCCTCCTTGACAGCAACCCAGCATCTCAGGGTGCCTACTCTGTGCTTGGCACTGAGGGCTCTTGGCGTTTTCCATGGGACAAGATGAGGACTTCTCAACCTTGGTACTGCTGGCATTTTGGACCAGACAATTCTTTGTTGTGGGGAACTGCCCCGCACACTGTAGGATGTCAGGCGGAATCCCCACTACATACCAGGTTACAATAGCACCCCTCCAACTGTGAAAACCAAAGATAGTGCCAGACTGCCAAATGACCTGGGGACGAAGCGGACCTGACTGAGAACCACTGGCCTAGGCTAGCAAGGGCACTGTACCAGGCATCCTTGTGTGGGAGGGAGGCCAGAAGCCAGGGAATGAGCCCTAGCACCAGCATTCCAGGTATAAACCAATTTCCCTTTCCCTAGACACAAAAGAGTCTACAGTGTCCGATGCTTTTATATGAAGGTCAAAAACAGGGAAAACTAAACGGTGGTGATTGCCCTGGAAAGGTAGCTCACTTGGTTAAAGCATCATCCCAACAGAGCAAGGTTGTGGGCTCCATCCCCGGTAAGGGCACACACAAGAATCAATCAATGAATGCATAAATAGGTGGAACAACAAAAATTGATTTTACCCGCCCCCCTCCTTTCTCTCTTGAAAAATAACTAAAAATAAAAATAAAAACTAAACTATAGTGGTAGAGGTCAGACTATAATCTTCAGCGAAGGGGACACTGAATAGAAGGGGGACAAGAGCGCCGTTATGGGTTTTCCTACCATTCCCCACCAGCCCTGTCCAACAGAACTTCCTGCGATGAAGAAACACTCCATCTCCGCACTGTCCGCACTGTCCAATACGGTAACCACAACCTGCCGAGGCCACTGGGTATGTGGAATGTGAATAACAAAGCTAAGAAGTTTACTTAATTTAAATGCCTACCTGCAGGCCGAAGCCACTATTTTGGATAGCATAGCTCTGTGTAGATTTGGGTAAAGGTTTCACTTAGGTAAAATCCAAAAAAACTGTACACTTAAGATTTAGTCACTTCGTTTATGTAGGTTCTACTTCAATTTGATTTTCTCTTTTGTTTTGTTTTAAAGCAAAGCTGTAGAAAGACTCCCGTGGCCGTGCCCTGAGACAGACCAGGGCTCCTGAGGACAGACCTCCCTGAATCTGAACCAGACCCGACTCTGCGCAACTCGTGAGTCATGAGCAATCATGGCAGCCTTCAACCTGATTCTACATTTTCAACGTTTAAATGTTGCCTCTTCTCCATCCCTGTCCCGCCTCCCCCAGAGAGAACATCTAGTGAGTGCTGGTTCTGTCATCTTGCCTAGTCTTTGCCCAGATGAATTAGGACGCACACCTGGGATGTGAGATTCGCCCGATGAAAGGAAATTCACAAAGGGGAATAATTCTTTTGCCAAGTTTACTAGTCAGACTCCCAGTGGAGCTACTGGCATGCTTTTAAATTCCTTGGGGGGAATTCTTTCAGTTTTAAAATCTGGTCGTTTCTGACCACTCAGCACGAAGGACGTTTTCCCAATTTCATCTGGGGTTCCATGCCCCATCAGCAGAGAGTACGCCCCTACCACCTCGCTGCTGCCTCTGGAAAACGGAGAGGACACCAGACACCGGGCACCGCCCGGGCGAGCAGCTGTGAAGACCTGAGTCACTGGATGTCTTCCCTGCTCTATGGGCCACTGTGCCAGGTTTCAACCTTACCTCTGGGGTGCTGGCCTACCTCAAACTCTTGGTATTTTGTTCAAGCAATGATTCCCAATTCCATCAAAACTCCATCTTGGCATTTTTCAGTAACGCCAACACCTCCGTCACTTCTGTTCTTTCAGAGGTTCTTAATTTGAGATCCTCACCGCTCCCTAAAACTTACACAGGCACTTTTGGAGTGATTTCACTGTTTTCATTAGATTCTTAGTGCTCCATGACACTAAAAAACTTAGGAAACATCGGTCCACTCCATTTCCTAAACCTTTTTAGAATTCTTTACCTAAATGTTTACCTAGACAAACTACAAGAGATCACTTCTCCATCAATCAGTAACACTTGGAAATCTCAGTCTTGGGATTAGTAAGTCTCCTAGAAGGTCCAGCCATCACTCTCCCTGCATGTCAAGGTTAACCAGCCAGGGCTAGAGGCTGGGTTGTCTCCTATAAGAAGGGGATTATAAGAGATGGCAAGAAAGAGATGGCCAGGAATACCTGCTATCCTGGTATGCACGTCCCTCCACAATGTGACCTCAATGCTCTGCCCATCGAGAGGTGGGATCCACTTCCCACCCTTTGAGTCTAGGCTTAGCCGTGACTTGTTCTGGTCAACAATCAGAAACATGACACAGAAGAGTGCGTACATGGCACTTACACTCTCGCTGCTAGACCTGCACAGGAAGGGCCCAGACTAGCCTCCTGGGGGACGAGGCCTCAGCTACTCCAGCTGCCATCCATCCCGGACCACCCTAGACCATCCTGACCAACTGGCCCAGTTAAGTTTTCCCAGACCAAAAGACTCACCCGGCCAACCCACAGAATTATGAGAAATAATAAATTATCTGTAAAAAGTCGCTAAGTTTGGGTGATTTCTTATGCAGTAAAATCAATAGTAAATATTGATTAAGCAGCGAAAGGAAACCCAGGGGCAGTAAGAGCTCTGAAGACGGAGGCTCTAATCTCCGCTACGATGCCCCTGGACTTGGCCATCTCTGTCAGTTCCACTGGAAACTTTCTACGTAAAGATCCCATGATGGAGGCCTCAAGGAAAAAAACACACCCCAAAACAACAAACAAACAAAAGCTCCACGTACTCTGGGTATCAAGAAACATCCTGCTCGTTCTCTGTTCTCTCAAAAACTCCCCCCTTAATGAATAAGCCTGAACAGAACTCACGGTCCACAGATGCCACTTACTTTAAGTAGTTCATACATATAAAACCGGATATCAAAGTCTGTCAGGATCTGGTAAAGTTGCTGAAACAGATTTCAGAAAACAAAGTTACGTTAGTGTCATTACATCTTGTCATCCAAATGTTGGTCATTATTCTCTGTCAACTTTAAGCATGAGTCACTAAAGAATCCCAGAACTTTTTACTCCCTGGCCTGCAACAAATGGGAACACAGACTACAGAGGGTCTAATACTTCAGCCTTCCAAAGAAAGAAGAAAGGAATTCCAGGGAAGAAAACCATTTATTCCAACCTGGATCCTTTAAAAACATGTTTAATGCTCCCTGATTTCAACCCCCACAATCGCACTGTCTTGGAGATGAAGCGGAGTTGTCCAACTGCACGTCAAACAAACCCGCCCCACTGCGGCTGTAGAGCAGTGGTCGACAACCTTCCGGACCTCACAGACCACCAGCGGTCCGCAGACCACTGGTTGGTGACCACTGAGTGTAGACGCAGTTCTGTGGATAGGAGACGGTGAAAAACTGCATCAGCCCATGTGGGAAAACAGTGGCAAGACAGCCTGTTCATGAAAGAAACACGAGGAAACCCAACTGCTACAGCATCTGGAAATGGCGAGACTTAAAAAATCGATACCCTCCACTCCTCCCAAACCAATACCAGGCTGGGAAGAGAACACTTCATAGGCAATATTGATGAGAACTAACTAAATCAATGTTTTAGGGAAAAGAAAAAAGGAGAGGTGGAGTGAAATGTTAAACAACTGATTCACAAATGAACATTTCATGATTGATAATCCAAAGACCCACCCACTGGGAAATTTTTGAAATTTTTCAATTTCTAAAAGGCAGAGTAGTTTTTATGAATCAGGTTCATTAAAACACGAACCCTTGTCAAAACTCTATTACTACTTTTGATCATCAATTCCAAGTAGATCTCAATCCCCATCAGGCCAAGCAGCACTTCCGATGAAATTAATCAGCGCACCGTTATGAAATACCAGAGGCCCAATGCACGAAATTCATGCAAGGGGCTCGGACCTCGCAGCCTTGGCCGGCCCTCCCCCAGCTTCATCCAGAAGGTCATCCAGCTGTTTGGTCTAATTAGCATATTAACTCTTTATTATATAGGATGTTTTGTTTCTCCTTTATTGGAAGACTCAAGCAATAAAGAGAGGAGCTCTTCAGGAACGGAGAACAGTGTCTGTGTAATAAAGGGGGGGTGGGTGGGGAATAAAACTACATATTCACACTTGCTTATATCTGTAAGAATGATGAGATTAATAATAAGTGGCTTCATATATATGGGGGGTGGGGAAGGATGGACAGAGGCACAGGGGAATAAAGCAGATTTTTCCTGCATACCAGTTCATAGTTTAGATATAGGCAAATACATTACCTGTTCAAAACAATTTTTTTTGATTTGCTAAAAATCAAATTTAACAACTTCTAAGAACACCAGGACTTCTTTTTCAAATGTCCCCTTTTAAATCAGAGTGACTCTCCTTCCAGCATAGTAAGGCTATCTGATTTCATCAACCCCAGGCAGCAGCCAGCTCAGGCACCATATGTTACAGTACACATACTGGTGCCCACTGGAGGCTGGCCCGATTGGGCCAAAGCTGCACTCAGGCACAAGGGCACAAACACCTCTGCACCATTTCTCAGGAGATTCAACTGCGTAGCAGCCCAACACTCAAGTTTTTTGTTCTCCCCAGCACACCCCAACCTGTATGTACAAAACCAGGCGAAGATACCATCTCTTTGCGCGTCAGGTCAGCTTCTCCTGTGAGAGTTAAGGAGATCACTCCCAGAGATGATGCCAAGTTGAACCTCAAGTCAATAAATAGGCCATAAAAGGGAAAACAGCATTTACTACCCCTCAGAGGCCTGGGATAGATTATTTCCAGAAATGAATATGGGTTATTTTACTAGCTGGGTGTTATCTGCAGAAGGTGGTATCATGTGGTATCTATATCATACATCTGTGTAAATGAATGTCCTTGGTCTGCCAACACAGCATTCCAACTACTCCATCCAATATCAATTTTATATAGTACAAAAAAACACTAGCTGAATACAGTGCTTAGGCCTAACACATTCTAAGTATTACCATGTATCTTTTATTATCACTTTGACACACATGAAGTGTTATACCTGATGATTTCCAGGAGAAATCGACCAAAACAGTACCTCTACCATAAAATGAAATATCAAAGGAAAAAATTAATAAGGCCCTAAAAGATCTGAACTAAATTACCAAGCTTGATATAAAAACTGACCAGGTACTAAAGTCACAAGCATCAATCATCAAAAAATTCCAAATAAACATTATATGGATCAGGTTCTCTGGACACAGTGCAATCAAATTAGGAACTGATAATAAAATAATTTTTTTTACAAGTGGGTTCTGGATCATACGCTCACAACCATACAGCTGAAAAGGACATTCCCAGGACAGTAATCGCTGGGACACCTTTTAGTATGGACTCTATGCTGTCTATTAGGTGGCATGACTGCATAAATGTTAAATTTCCTAAGTGCACTGTGGTCATGTAGGAAAATATCCTCCACCCAGTGCTAGCATATTGAGGAGTGAAGTAACGCAATGTCTGCAACTTACTTTAAGATGACTCCAGCAAAAAGACAGAGATAAAGAGGGGAGTGTGTGCGTGTGTGGGGGAGGGTGGAGAGAAATAACTGCAAATGTGACAAAACATTAACTGGTAAATCTAGACGAGTAACATAAGGGCACTGACTGTGCTACTCTTTCTAATTCTCAGTGGGTCTAAAAATGTTCAAAGTAAAGTGTGGAGAGAAAAACCCAAATCCACAAGATGGGACTTTGTATTTCTGCTTTGAAAATGATACAGAAGTGAGTTCCATAACCATGAAATGTAGCGAAAATAGTGCTTGGGGTTTACAGACTTCAGGAAAGATAGAGCCCGGGCGGCGTGGCTCAATGGTTGAGCACTGACCCATGAACCAAGAGGTCACCAGTTCAATTCCTGGTCAGGGCACATGCCTGGGTTGTGGGCTCCATCCCCAGCAGGAGGCAGCTGATCAAGGTTGATGTTTCTCTCTACGCTCATGTTTCTGTCTCTCCCTTTTGCTTCCCTTCTTTCTAAAATCAATAAACACATATTAAAAAAAACAAAAACATACACACAAAAACTCCATGACATTTCAGATTCATGTATGAGCATAGAAACTCACCCAAAAAAAGAATTTGAAAAACAGAGAAAAGGCATGAAGAAAACATAATGGGGGGGGAAAGACACGTTTTCTCAGCGAGAAAATAGAAGATATTACATAAAACATAAAAGAACAGGATACTATTTTAAAAGGTCCAGGGAACAAAACAGAGCTCTACGATAGGAAGTCTAACATCCAATGAGTTTGAGAAAGTGAGAACAAAGAAGGGAAGAAAATCAAAGAACATGAAAAACTTTTCTGAAACAGAAGGACACGAGTTTCTACATTGAAACACCCAGTCAGTATCCAGAACGAAGGATGAAAGCGACCCATATAACAGCATGTCACGGGGCAGCCTCAGAGCCTGGGCAGGAAGGGAGACCCCGCAGGCTTCCAGAGAGAAACAAGAGACAATCACAGACGATGAAACCACAATGGCTTCAGTGGTAAGAGCAGAACAATCTCTTCAAAAGGCTGAGGAAATTATTAATTACAACCTAGAATTCTATACTGTGGAAAATGTTAGTTGGGAGGATAAAATAAAGATGTTTTCAGATATGCAAGCCCCTAAAAACATTAAAATCCCATGATCCTTTTTGAAAAAGCTCCTAGACAATGTATGCCATCCAAACATCCCCTTTGTAAGAAGTCAGATTTCTCTAGGGAAGTAAACACTGACCTTCTGCCAGTTGTCAAATCCACCTGGCAATTCAAGAAACACAAATGCTGAAGTGAAATTTTACATGTGGCTGGACAGCTGGTAAGAACTCATTAGGAAGCAGAGGCATTTAAAACTAAGGGATTTTAATATGAAGCTCCATGAAGATTGGCTTTGAAATGTTTGCATTAGAGAGATGTTTGGCTTCATGAAAACCTGTTTATTTCTTCAGAAACAGAAACACACACACACACACACACACACACACACACACACACACCTTGATAAACCGGGGTCACTCATAGCAAATTAATGAAAAAAATGTATTCCGCACTTGTTAGAGTTCACTACTGGAGTCACAAGGAAACTTGTTACATATGAGGAATGCAACACTATATAAAACTTGCTTATTGTTTTATAAGTGCTTATTGTTCACTAACTTTAGAGTGATTACCTAAGAAAAATTAAATGCGAGGGTAAGGTTCTTTTATTTTCACCCAAAAGCATCACTCCTGACAGCATATTTCACTGCTGATTTGATGTCCCTAACTTCCATCCCAACAAAACCACAAGCCTTTTATTCACTGGCAGAGTTGTAATCACCAAAAAATCTCTAAATGCCCCTAAAATCAACACCACTTTTGATTTTTAAAAACTTTCTCTTCTCATACTGATTTTCATATTGTGCTCTACCATGTCCAGCATGCCTGGCCCCCAAACCTTGACATGAGTTAAGGTTGCGGTGTTTGAAAAACACTAAAAACAAATTCATGAAAAACCGGCTTAATACTCTGCTTTTGAAGAACACATCATAGTCTAAATTAATATTAACATAAGAACTCTATGAGGCTGCCTGGCACAGATGCCCCAGGAGCCCCTGAGGTGTCTGGGAGCACCCCGGCCTGAATGGACCCAGGGGGTAGGGACTGCTGCACCCCTCCCCTGCATGCGCGCCCCCCCACCCCAAGGCAAAGGCTGGGGCTTTAGCGCTTCCTGCTGGTGAACTGGGGGGCCAGGCGCTCAAGTCCAGGAGAGGGAAAATGAGTATCTTTTTAAATGCCTACAGATGGTGCATGTTCTCTCCAGAGATGCTTCCAGTTAAAGAAATAATTTAAGAGTCGGGTATCTTAATAAAATATGCAAATGCAAATGCAAAAAGAAAGAAAGAAAAAGAAAGAAGAAAAGAAACGTAAATAACCAGGGCAGGGCTTTTCTGCACCATCTGCTCTGTATACAGTGCGCATGAACACACACCACCTGAGAGTCTCAATCCAATGTATTGCTTCTATTCACGAGCCCTGCATCCACTCATCACTTCCTATCAGCAATGTAAGTAAGATTCCTAAGAAAATCAAAGGTAACATCTACCTAAAGCTGTCGTCTCAAAGAGGAGTGGAAGCATTAGCTTAGACCCAGCCCAGCAGCTGTTCCCTGAGCAAGCGAGGCAAAGGGCGATGAGTAACTACACCAAATGCAGGAGCTCTAACCACTGTCTGCCTCCTGGATCATGCCAGAAGGAATCCAATGTGTGATTTCCTGCTCTCACCAATGGCCTTTCTGCCCTCGTGTTCCAGAGTATCAGCAGTACTTACTGCCATCACCCACCCCCAGAGCCCCCGCAAGCAGAAAGAAAAAGTACATACGTACCTTAAAATCTGTATTATTGATATATTCAAATACCAAAGCTGGTGTCTTTGACTGCAAGAAAAAAATATAAATTATTAAATATTCAAACCATAAATGTAGTTTCTTCTGTCGTACAGCCCATCCTCAAATCCCACTTAGATGAAAAGGACTCACCACCCAGGGAGAGACTAGCAAGAAAGTATCCTCTTGAAATTTTATGCCTGGAATTTGCTTCAAAGTAACAGGATGGTGGGCAATGGGAGGGTGGGGGAGTGGGTGGGGTACGGACGAAACAAAGTTGGCCAGGAGCTGACTTAGTGCTAAAACGGAGTGCTGTGCGCAGGCAGGTTCATGATATTACTCACTTTACTTTTGTAAATGGTTGGAATTTTTCATAATAAAGTTCTGTTTGTTTCTTTGTTTTTGTTTTTAAAAGGGGTATATTCTCTGACCAACCTGTCCACTGGGCCTGGCACATTATGCAAAGATTTATACTCTTGAGGTTTCAGTTTGCCAACTACGAAAGGAGCGACATGTTTTCATCTTGGTTTAGTGAGCCAGGCATATTTTATAGAATTATCATAGGTCTTGGGGCTCTAGCACAGGTCTTTTCAGGATCCGAAAGGAAATTATCTATAATTATCAGTAAGCCACAATGTGAAATTACTTCCTCAAGTATTTTTAAAGCACTATAATCTTTGATGCAATGAATACAAAATAGTCAATATTTCCTTGTTGTAAACAGATTTTCAAATGTCTAGTTTACTTAAATGAGGTAAAATAATGTGAATTGGCAGTAATAAGCTTTCAAAATAGGGAGAAAAGCAGGGGCTTAAGAGCATTATAGAAAGAAACAATCATCCGAGAAATCTTTCCAGCAGGAAGTTTTGCCGAAGGAAGCAGATGAAAGTTACCTAGGCGACAGGCCACAGTGCACCCACACAGGCCTTTGCCAGGATGAGCGGCAGTTCCGGCCAAAGGGTCCCCACCAGCCCACGCTGAGGGCTTCACCACCAGACCTCTCTACAGGTGGGGGGGAAGATTCCCTGGTTGTTTCGTCCACTTCAGTTACTGGTTACGTATGTGTAAAACACACACACACACACACACAGTGAGACAGCTATCACCAAGCTCCGTGTCACTGCAGAATCAATCTGAGCTGATCAGACGGGGATATATTTGTGCCAATTAGATGGGGTCTAGAATATGACCACCCTTCTCAGTCTTTTCACAGGGACCAAAGTAAAAAACTTTCCTTATTCTTCAGGTCAGCAGCCCTGTGTAATTTTGGGCAAATTACTTAACCTCTGTAGACTTCAGTTTTCTTATCTGCACAGTGTGACAATGCAGACAACAGCACCTACCCCCACCAGACTGCTGTGAGGATTACAGGATGAGATAGTTAAACACGCAGAACAGTGCTGGCACACACACGTTAGCTACCACATTACTGTGAGGATGTCTTTAGCCGGTAGAAGCAAAGACAATAAACACAAGCTATCATGGGAGAGCGGACATATTTGAGGTACAGCAGGTGAAGAACAGAAATGGGATGAGAAGCGATACCAAAAAAGCCTTCATCATAAACACTTAAGGTTAAGTCATTCCCGGGAAGAGACAAAAAAGTAAACAGCTCTACTAAAATGGCTCAAAATTAAGCATTTTAACAAAAACATTTCAGATGTTTCTGGATATACAATGTGGCCCCTAAGAGCGGATGCTGAATTCAAGACCAGCATGAGAACCAGCAAGCTCGCCTCCTCGAAGGTCAATGGGCCCGGGACCTGCTCGGCTCTCTACGCCAGGTGTCCAAGTGGAGATTCTCAGTTCTTCCTTCTGTGACCCCAGATTTTCAACAGAAGGTAAAATAATGCTGATTGGTAGGAATAAGCTTCAAAACTGGGAGAAAAGCAGGGTCTTAAAGGAGACAGTCAGCAAACATCTGTAAGCTGAATCAGGAGAATGAGGTAATATACCTGGGCAGGGACGTGCCTATCGAATAGACAGGGTAGGTTCTATGGAAGTGGTGGTGGCTATTTGCACATTGGGCCACCATGACTTTTTTTCTGGTTTTCAAAATCATTCAGTAGAAAAGACAAACATGATCATCCTCACTATATAATATTTCTCAGTATTTTAGGTTCTCTCTCTCTCTCTCTCACACACACACACACACACACACACACACACACACTCTCTCTCTCCCTCCCGCACCCCCCGCCACCATCAGGCACCTACCACAGGGTCCTTCACAGTGTCAATCAGCTTAATGATATTTGTTCCACCACGAAGGTTCTCCAGAATCTTAACCTCTCGTTTTATCTTCTTTTTCTTCACTGGCTTAAATACATAAGAGTAATCAGAAGTAAGACTCCCTTGAAAATTATTAGAACTTTAAAACGACATTAGCTAATCAAATGGATAGTGCACTATCTTGTACACTGGGTTATGTTCAAAAGCACGTCTAAATAGAAGAGAAGCCGAAACCGGTTTGGCTCAGTGGAGAGAGCGTCGGCCTGCGGACTGAAAGGTCCCGGGTTCGATTCCGGTCAAGGGCATGTGCCTGGGTTGCGGGCACATCCCCAGCGGGAGATGTGCAGGAGGCAGCTGGTCGATGTTTCTCTCTCATCGATGTTTCTGACTCTCTGTCTCTCTCCCTTCCTCTCTGTGAAAAATCAATAAAATATATTTAAAAAAAAAAATAGAAGAGAAAAAAATGGAGATAAAATGGATCTGCTCATAAGAGCTTATAGGATTAAGTTAAACAATTTACAGACTTATAGCTTATGTCAAATCTTTAAGTAGGGCACTTAAATTTTTGAACACCATGTCATACTTTAAAAATAAAATGCTTACTGGGTTAACTGCCAAGTGGAAAATGTTATAGCTCTGAACAGCTGTATATCATGCACCCACAAATGGAAAAACTTAAACAAAATGGTGAGACACCTGCTCTTCCAATGAGTTACATGTAATTTTGTCTTTCAGGAGCGAAGACCAGTTCACTGACATCAAGTTACAAACTTGTTTCCCAGCTGCTGGCTCCCATTTCCTGTCGCCACTCCCATTTCCTTAATATCTAGGATCTGAAATCAGCAGAGCCAGTAAAAATCCCCACCAGACCCCATTCCCAAAGAGAGAGATGATGGATCGCCAACAGGAGAAAGCTGATCTGATGCAGCAGTGATTGAAAACCTCTGCTACTGCTAATCTTTCAATCTGCCCAACAGGAAAGTTTCAAGACTTTAATCAGAAATACTGGCATTAAAAAAAAAAAAAAAAAGAAATACTGGCATTGCACGTTACTTATTTTTTCTTTTTAATATATTTTTTTATTGATTTCAGAGAGGAAGGGAGATGAATAGAAACATCGATGAGAGAGAATCATTGATTGGCTGTCTCCTGCACGCCCCCTACTGGGGGGAATCAAGCCCACAACCCGGGCATGTGCCCTTGGCTGGAATCGAACCTGGGACCCTTCAGTCCGCAGGCCGACGCTCTGTCCACTGAGCCAAACAGGCTGGAGCACACATGTTGCGTCTTATCTTACGGGGGCTAAAGAGTTTGAAGAAGGAAAATGAGCATATCACAATCAACAGTGTTTTATAAAGCACTTCGCACAGCACTGGCACACAGTAAGCACCCAATAAATGCCAGCTTTATTATTTTCAAATTTGTAGTTAGTAATAAGTCATATTTCATCTTCACAAAAGTCCCATGTCGTAGATTCAGCCAAGCTGAGCTAGTTGCCCAAGGGTCACACGGCTAATAGTGAAGAGTGGGGGCAGGAATCCCATCTAGACAGTCTGACTGCAGGTCTCACTGGAAGCCACTGTGCTTTCGTGTCCCTAGTGTGGCTCCGTAACTAACGTACCTAAGGAAAAGGGGCATTCCACCTGAGACGCTGGTACAACAGCACAGGCAGAGGCCAGTGGATCTGCCATGAAACAAGATATAAAAAGCCCGTGTGAGTGTGTGTGTGTGCGCGCGTTGGTGGTGGAGGGGGAGGATATAACATGATACACGTCAGAGAAACCTCCATCTATTGTTGGTCACTAAGCTACAGCTTTGAACCAAACAGAGAGGGAGCAGATTATGAAACACGGAGCATCTGCCACACCTATAAACGCAGTGCTCAACTGAGAGACTGGATCTCGCTGCATCCTTCCATGGCAGCTGCCAGCGATCATGCCCACTCCACTCTGCCAGGCTTCCCAGCAGATCTGGCTACGGTGTCCCTTCCCCATCTCAACTTAGCCACCTCAGTCCTTATTCCCAGTTTCATAATTAGGGAGGCTCAATACTTTGGGAAAATGAAGCATTCAAACTTGAAGCCACAGAAGGACATTCTACACAATAAGTAGTCTGAACAACTGTTCGACTAAAGAGATAAGACAACTGAATGAATACAACACATGATGTGGGATTTTCTTTTATATAAAGAACATTATAAAGACAACTGACAAATGTGAATGGGGACTACAGTTTCGCTAACAGCATCATACCAATGCTAATTTCTGATTTTTGATCCTGGCACTGTGGGTTATGTAAGAAGTTGTCCTTGATTTTAGGAAATACACACCAAAGGAGGGATGACTGCAATTTACTCTCAAGCACTTTTAAAAAATAAGTAAAATAAGTATATATACACACACACAGATGTGTGCGTGCGTGTGTGTGTGTGTGTGTGTGAGAGAGAGAGAGAAGGAGAGAACAGGAGAGAAGAATAAAGCAAATGTTAACATTTGAGAAATCTGGGTGAAAGATATATAGGAATTCTTACAACTCTTCTGCAGGTCTGAAATTATGTCAAAAAGTTTAAAGAAAACTAAAGGCTGGTTATCATTATCTATAAATTCTGCCAATGCTACCAGTATAGTCAATGTAAAAAAAAAATCTAGTTTTATTATCCACTTTAGGACAGCAATTACAGATCTGTGGGAGTGGTAACAGGAAAACAATAGACAAACAAAAAAACAACAGCCCTGGCTGGTGGCTCAGTTGGTTGGAGTGCTGTGCCGTACACAAAAGGTTACGGGTTCGATTCCTGGTCAAGGCACATATGGGAGGCAACGGATCAATATTTCTCTCTCACACTGATATTTCTCTCTCTCGCTCTCTAAAATCACTAACAACATATCCTCAGGTGAGGATCAAAGATAACAATAAAAAAATCAACCACCGCCAGAAGCCTGTATACACCAAAAGCCCTCCTTTTCTACCAGTGGACTGTACAGGGGTAACCCATTAAAAGAGTTGCTTTTATCACGGTGCCACATATAAAACTTTGCTTGGCTCTCCTGTTATTCAGCAACAGGTCAGACAGGCGCCTTGTTCCTGGGCAAGATGAAGATATCTTTCATTATGTCTAAAGGTAACTTACAGAGCACACAAACATATTTCGCCGCTCAAACGTCACCTGTCTAACAACTTCCCAAACAAGAGATTGGGGACAGCAGGGCGGAGTCACGCAACAGCTGGAGTCCTAGCATACTGACGAGAGACCAAGGGATTGCGAAAGGCAGTGACCTACAGCCCAGGACATGCCCTCCAGAGCACGGGCACCTTTTCTCCACGGGAACAGACCCCAGGTAACTCCCTTTAGCCTCAGCAGGGTCCCCGGAACCTGGGAGATCCTTCAGAAGCTACAAAGCCAATGAGCTCTCAGGGAGCGAAAGTGATCCCTTTAATTCTACAAATAGAAGTAGAGAGAAAAAAGAGAGGATTTACAAGGGGGGGACCCTCACACCCTAAGGAAAACAGATCATGAATTTACAGGAACGAGGATGCTCTGACTCTCTAGACCGGTGTTTGCACTCATTCACCATCAGTCACGGCCAGCGGAGAGAATACATACATTTCCATGACAATCTCATCATTTCATCTCGCAGGCTAGAAAAAGTCTCTCCCAACTAAGGTTCATTTCTTACAAGTCCGAGATTATGTGTTTAAAAGATTCTAACTGAATCAGCTTAGCCATTTTCCAATCAACAAAAATTTGTTTTTTACTCAAAATCTAGTAGAGAAAATGGCACATAGCTTTTAAAAAGAAATAAAGTATTAAATCAAGTTTCAAAATAAATGAATTTTGGCACACACCTAGAGAGAATATTTAATGGAAAAACTCATTTAAAATTTTCTATACATAAGCTCTGAAAAGGAAGGGAGGGAGGGAGGGAGGGAGGGAAACGGAAAGCAAGCACCTCTGCTGAGGTTGGGTATACTGATTTCTCCTCTGAGACTCAATACGGAGGGAGGAAGGAAGGAAGGAAGGAAGGAAGGAAGGAAGGAAGGAAGGAAGGAAGGGCCTTTTCAGGTTTCTGCCCACACAGTGGAGTCCCAACTATTTAGAACCTTGTTGGATGTAATCCAAGACTAAGGTACTTTTTCTCTATTCTTATGTGCCAACACTTCCAAATCTTAAAACAAAAGACAAGTTTAGTAATGGCATACTTAGAAACACAAAAGTTGACAGTTAGTAATCTCTCCTATTTAGTTACTCAGAGCTACTTTTAAAAAAGCCAGGCCCTAGCTGGTTTGTTTCAGTGGACAGAGCATTGGCCTTTGGACTGAAGGGTCCTGGGTTCCATTCTGGTCTAGGGCACATGCTCGGGTTGTGGGCTTGATCGCCAGAAGGGGCATGCAGGAAGCAGATGATCGATTCTTTCTCATCACTGATGTTTCTATCCTCCCTGCCTCTCTAAAAATATTTTTTTTAAAAAAAGCCAGATCTGAGAATGATTTCAATTATTAGCATTTAATTATGATTGAACTAGAGGCCCGGTGCACAAAATTCGTGCAGGGGGGGGGGGTGCGCGGGCACCAGCAGTCCCCTCAGTCCGGCCCACGCCCTCTTGCGGTCTGGGAGCCCTTGGGAATGTCCAACTGAAGGTTTAGGCCCACTCCCCACAGCAGTTGGACATCCTTAGCACTACTGTGGAGGGGGGAGAGGTTCCCACCACTGCTGCTGCTGCACTTGCCAGCCATGAGCCCAGCTTCTGGCTGAGTGGCACTCCCCCTGTGGGAGCGCACTGCCCCCTGGTGGTCAGTGCACATCATAGCAGCTGGTCGTTCTGCCATTCAGTCAATTTGCATATTAGCCTTTTATTATATAGGATATGTAAACTAACATCTACCATCAAAGGTATAAGAATAAATCCCAGCAAATACTAACAGGCAAAGTTCCATTTTAACTTCTTTACATCTCAAATTAAGTGATAATTCAAGACAGACAGGACCACAGCTCAGAACTTTCAAATCTGGATTTACTTTTATTCCATTACCAAAGCCACGATTGCCCCACTAAGTTACAGATTTCATCATCTGCAATAAATAATTAC